GTAGTAGTAGTAGTAGTAGTATTTGTATTAAATATAATCATAGCAAGAATAGCACTACTACTATATATATACATAAATATATATATATATATGTGTGTGTGTGTGTGTATGTATGTATGTATGTATGTATGTTACATACATACATACATACATACATACATACATACATACATACATACATACCGCTACATGCCATAACCATAACATTTAGATCTAAGATTAAATCTGGAATGCAGAAGCTTTGTTCAGGAAGCCCTTCCTCGATGAGTTCCTTCCCGCAGGGCCGAAACTCGAGGCTCACCGACGTCTCGAACTGTTCGGGCTTCTTTGCTTGTGCTTCTTTGTTGGGTTTGGGCTACCAGTTTGGGAGATTCTGGGAAGGGTATAATAGGGACTCAATCAATGCCCACGGAAGCCTTAATCCTTGTATCCTGAAGCCTGCAACTTCTGCAACCCCTAAACCCCAGACCGTAAATCCTATCCGGTAAAACCCTACACCACAACCCTGAACTCCGAATACGTCTACATGGTTGGGCATTCGATGTTCGCTGCCAGGTCTTTGCCCGGAACTTGCGTCCCGGATGGACATCCTGGGGCCGGTAGCCTCGGATTGTTGTGAAGGGTGTATACGGATATTAATAAAACTACCTCTACGACGACTACTACCAAAATGCCAATGCTGATGCTAATACGATTGCGAATACTATGCTATACTATACTACACTATACTGTACTATGCTGTATACTAAAGACTATGATGTAATCTAATGCATTTTTCCTTCATACTGTTAATGTTGCATGGTCTTAAACGTCCTCTCTCTCTCTCTCTCCCTTCATGTTGTTTTGCTTTGCGGGGCGGGTGCCGGATGGATGGTGTTCCTCCACGTGAAGTTTAGATGCCCGAATGAGTCCTTAAGCCGAATTCTCCTGGCGCTCTTCGCACAGAAACAAAGGCCGGTGGAGTCGTGGAATTCCTACAGTTCGGCTGTTTGTGTTCTTATGGCCTCCGTGGCAATGCTGGGCTGCTCCCAGCCCTGAGCCCGAAGGGGCTGAAGCTAAACCTGGACTTGAAGCTTATTACCGTAGTCTCCATTGTAGTTCCTCTTGGGGGATACCTGATAAAATCCTTATTATATAATTGGTTAAACCAAAAAAGGAACTACAATGGAGACTATAGCTATTGCTGAAAAAACCCTGAAACCCGCAATCGCCATGTAAGGCAACGAAGTGCTGCTGTTTCAAGACGCGGCGCTGTACAGACCGCGAGACACAGAAGAAGCGGCAGCGAACGGAAAAGATTCAGGGCTTCAGGTTGCTCAACAATCTACCTATAGTCTCCCTTGTAGTTCTTTTTTTGGTTTAACTTATATATTCAGGATTCTGTAAGGTATCCCCAAAAAGGAACTACCAGGGAGACTACAGGTAGGGGCTAAAGTCGCTTGATCTCCAAATTCAGTGCTCTTATGCCTGATGAGAGCGACTAAGCAAGTATCGTGAACGTGTTTGGCAGGAGGCCGTATAAATGAGCTCAGCAGAATTCGTGGCCATGCTTGTGACCAGACCAGCCGTACAACGACCCCATAATAACATCCTTGACGTGTGTTGCCTGGACAAGTGCGCAACCCTGCATCGGTCCTTCACTCGTACTTTCATTTTTTGTCCTATGCGCGAATCTTAATGCGCGTACTACCCATTTTTCTTGTATCCCGGCCGGGAAACATCTTCCACAACACCCCTGGAAATTACAAAGACTCCGACAACACCTTGTCAAATACCGAAGTATGTGCCGAGTAGTACCTGCAGACAGTCTACCTTACAGTATTGGCACACCTACCACCTCCGCTCTGTCTTCAGTCGTCTAGGAGTCGAGGTTGAACGGATGGTTATGGACAATACGAGGTGGCTGAGTGTAGCTTCTGAGGACTTTGTCCGAAGGTGTCTATGCACAAAGTAAGATTCCGAGACGAAATCCTGAGAGCCACACCAAAATAGCCTAACATGTCTACTGTCTACGACGCCTAAGCCTAAGCCTCGAACCTGAAAGTTGTGAACCACAGCCTCTATGCCCTTGCTTCATCTCTTGCTCTTGCCTTGGCAGCTGTAGCGAGTCGCATCGATCGATGGGTAGCATTCCAGGCAGCGGGTCTAGGGCCTTGAGACTTTGGGAATATTCAGAAAAATCATACTACAATCCCCAAATTTCGCAGAAACAGTATAATTGAATCGTAGTTTCCACGTCGTCAGGGCCCCTAAAGAAGGGACTCTGATTTTTCTGAAGCTTCCATTCAGGGCATCGAGAGTCTCAGTATTCGCGCCAACAAAGTTCAGGGTCTATATAGGTTTAGAGTTTGAGGGGTTTAAGGTTCAGGATTTTGGGTTTAAGGTTGAGGATTTAGGATTTGGGGTTTCGGTTTGAGGATTTCGGGTTCAAGGTTGAAGGTTCGGAATTTGGGGTTTAAAGGCTGAGGATTTGGGGTTGAGTGTTTCGGGTTGGGTCTAGGTAATCCAGGGCTTAGGGTTGAAGATGCTGGCGTTCGTAGAAGTGTGAAGTTTGCAATTTGCTACAAGCTTCACAGCTGCGAGTCCGATTATGCAACTCATGCCCGAGCTGTTGGCAAGATACAGCCCGGTTTGGTGCGACACGGTAGTCAAACCGCCCCTTTCTCTCATTCACCCGAGATACCTCCTCCTAGCAAAGCACGGCATATGAATCCCCGTTTGAGTACACCACTAGCCAGCCACCATGGACTCCTTCAACAACACCCTAAAGCCTTATTAAGCGCTCCGGGCTTTGTGTCTCAGGGTCTGGGGACTTCGGTGTAGGCGACGCTTCTTGGTGAAGCTTCCACCATGATCAGGCGCATGGGCGGATGGTGAACTGGAACCAGCTGCAAAATGTCACCCTGCCTACACTTGCCGCATGCAGTTTAGCACCCCAGGATTTGGGAATCTGGAAACCCTAAACCCTAAACCCTAAACCCTAAACCTTAAGCCCTAAGCCCTAAACCCCCCATGTCCTTGTGGACAAAGTATGAGCCCCAGAGTCCCATCCGAGCCCAGCGAAGTCTTCGGACGGCCTTATAGCTCCGAGTTGGTTTGCCATCCTCCGGCTAGGACAAGTACCCCTTACAGTCCACAATATAGCTACAGTGTAGTAGTATGTATCCCCATTACACCTATAGCTGAGGGTTTCGTGAGGAATATGCACTGGGCCTTCATCGATTGAGCCGAAGAGGGCTCTCTGACTTCGGGCCGGGACTCTAGCGCTCTTTCGTCTGTGTCTGTGTATGTATATATGTATGCATGCATGCCCCGATGTATGTATGTAATCATGCAACTATGCTGTAACTTCGAACTATGCATGTATGTATGTGTTCATATGCATTTAGATAGATAGATAGATAGATAGATAGATAGATAGATAGATAGACAAGATACTAGTTACTATATCCATCGTATGTCATCAAAGTCTGAAGAACCAGAAGAAAGCAAGTTTTGTTGGGATTCGCCACACTCCGAATCCGTAAGTTTGCACCGCCTAAACTCCAAATATGTCCTTGGTTCTCTATGCCGGAAGTGCCGACATCTTGCGGCGTAGGGGAACCCCAACCCAAACAAAAACTGCTTCAAACCCCTACATAACATGCCTAAGCTGGCAATTGTCAAACCACCAACTCCTCAACTCTTAAACCCTTGCATCCCCACAAGTCCGAGGTGTGAATACCCCACCCCTACAAGCTCCAAACATCCCCCGGAAGAAGACGAAACAACCGGAGCAATGACGGGGGTAAAACGGAAGAGAGAAACACAACGACGACAAGCGATGCCAGGCGACTACGCCTGATAGTAAGACTGGGCCTCAGCAGTTTTTTTCCTCTGGGAGCTTCAAGGCAACAGGAGCTTTAGGGGCTCTGGGCTTCTGAAGTTCTGGGGCCCCGAGATTCGGAGTTTTGGGGCATCAGGGTTTAGGGGTTTCGGGGCTGCAGGGGTTTGTGGTGTGGGCTTTGGAGGTTTTGGGGTTGGGGCTTTAGGATTTGGGTGTGCGATCATTGCTTAGAGTTCAGGGGGCTTTCGGAGTTCATGAACGCGGTTGGGGCGTTCATCGGGCTCCCATGGATCCTGTTTTCACGTTTATATAATATGTGCATATGTGAAGATAATGTGGTTATGCAGACAAGCATACATAGCCTACCCACATACTGTCATATACTTGCCATGTGGCCTCTTACGCACTGAAGCTGTCAGTGACGTCTTCCGTAATCTCGGCTCAGGCCCACTCCCGGGTGGCTGTTCAACGAGATCATAAGAGATGCGGCAGCCTGAATCAAGGGCTTAAGGCTTCAAGGTTGCAGGTTTCGAGCTTCGGCTGGGATGCCATAAGATGTGTCGGATGGTTTATCCTTGTCTCAGAGCTCCATAGACGCTTTCATTACGAGCCTGCAGCTCAACTCAGCAGCCCGCTGCGCTTTGCGAGCTTGAGGGTTTGGCACGAATATAGAGGTCTACTGCTTGGGATGGAGGGCAAAGCGGTTCAGCGGTTCAATACTGAGATCTGAAGAATTCGGAGTGTTCCTTAGCATACTTACAATCTAGCACATACCCCGGAACCCTTTTCCAATGAATACCCATAGGCCCCATAGTAGTTCCTTGTTGGGATTCCCTAATAGGATCCTAAATAACAGCCACAAAAACGAACTATATACTATGGGGCCTATGAATATTGCCCCTGCATTAGAAGCATTCTCCCGTCTCTACATCAAGCCGCCTCCGCCTGAAGCCCCAAAGCCACGAATCGGCCGAAGGTGCGAAACAGTCCCAAGGACGGCGTGTCCTGGGGTGTTGCGCCTGGCCGTTCATGTTCCTCACCGGTTACTTTGCTATTCTGATTTCTAGTGGTATGCGCGGAAAATTTTGTTATTCAGGGTTGTGTGCCCTTCCCAAAGCCTGGCGAGTAGCCGATCAAACTAGCCGATCATGTATCAGACCTCATTGCAGTAGACGATGCATTGATCGCTGCGTTCTTTTTGGAGGGTTTCATTCCGAGGGGTTACAGATTCCACAACATCGTGTGCAGCCGCGGATTTTGGAATTTGGGTTAAGCCACAACTTGTGGGCCAAAAGCCCGGGCGTTGAGGCCCAAGGCTCCAAAGTAAGGGTTCGGATCTTCAATTGATCATCGTTTGCCATGTTGCCGTTGAAGCTGCATCTACTGTACCCTAAACACCGACTCCGATTATCCAGGCTCGCATACTAAACCTGACGTAGATGGCGGAACCCGGAGAGGAAGCACGACGACTCCCAGCATTGTGATACATCCTAAGCCCTAAACCCTGATTCAAGAAGATTTCGGGATCCTTTAGAGTATGATCGTACGGCATGTTGCTGAACTAAGCGGGAGCGCACGGTTCTGGCCCAAAGTGAGTTGAGTGATCCTGGAAACCCGGAAGTCCTGACACCTCTAAGGGAGCCTGCTGCATAGTGCCGCCATCTGGTAACTAAAGAGCAGGGGTCTGCTCTGGCCAGGACTAGCGACTAGCACCGCAACTCGTTCTGGGCTTCAGATCAGACTACGATTCCATTTTGGGGCAAGTGCTAAGCCGAGCGCCTTCCGGCTGTTTGGGAAGAGTGCCGCGTGTTATCAGGTTGCAGACGCAACGGCAATGGTGTCACCCATGGTTCTGTCTATAGTTTAGGGTTTAGGGTTTAGGGTTTAGATTGGTTAGGATTTAGGGGTATTGTACGGACTTGAAGTGTTAAGCGCTGCAGAGCTCATGTTTAAGTGGCGCAGGACACGCCGGACGTTGCCGAGTACCTGATGCAATGTGTATGCAGTGACCAACTCAACATACAGCTCAAGGGGGCCCGGCCCCAAGCAGGGATACCCGAGTCTCAAATCCCTAAACCCTAAACCCTCAAGCCCTACTTTACCCCAAAACCGAAGATCCCCGAACCCCAAAAGCCTCAAACCCCAAACTCGGACCCGCAACGAGGAGACCCAGAGAGCCTTACACCCCAAACCCAACAGCCCCTGAACCTATGAAGCAAGCAAAGACTCATGTTGGCTTATAGCTGTCACTAGTGTTCTCCCGAAACCTTCCAGCAAGTCTAGGATGAGCTCCCTTGATAACACATCCGGGACTGAAGCGAGTGTTGCAGCTTTCGGTGATTTTGGGGGTGTCCGGTTTTGGCCGGCGCGGTTTGCGGCGGAATTAGAGTTCAAGACATGGAGACCCCAGTTGCCGAAATTCCGGAGCTGTGATGCACAGTTGCTTGAATCTACAAGTATAAGCCGGGGATGTATGGGTTCTCTACCGTCATATACTCAAAACCGACACATATATATATATATATACGCAAATATAGAGGATTTGGTTCACTTCCCCCTCTGACAAAATCCTGCAATGCAATCTGTGAAGGCTCGTGGTACTTTCCGCACACTGAAACCGTGAGCCCCCAAACAAACAACCTCGGACGAATACAGCAGGTTGAAGATTTACCTTAAGAACCCAAAACCTACTTTTTGTAGGGTCCCTATAAATCCCATATTAGGGTTTATAATAAGAACCTACAAAAAAGTGGGTTTTGGGTTCTTAAGGTAGTAATACATTCCCTTGCGAAACTCCCTGCATGATTACAGCGCAATAGGGTACACCCAAAACGCTAGCCGCCAGTGGAGTTACGCGGGAGCTTACATATTAATCCGAGAGACTACGGCAATGCTGTGAATTGCAACTGCATGCTCGGCTGACAGAGGTCCTGTGCATCAAACACATCGCAATGGAGGACTTTGGCCTCCATTGAAGTCTGCCTATAGTCTCCATTGTAGTTCCTTTTTTTGGTTTAACTATAATTATATATTCAGGATCCTATAAGGCATCCCCAAAAAGGAACTACAATGGAGACTACAGGCGGTTGTAGTCAGGGTTTTGGCCCCATTGAAGTCTGGTTTCTGTCAGGGTTTTGGTGAGTGTATAAAGAGCTCCGTGAAGCTTCGTGAGTGCATATCTGGGGCTGAAAAACATGGGGAGGCTTGAACAAATTTTCATAATTATATAAAACTCGGATTCCAAACCCTGAACCTTCCATGAAAAGCCTAATTCCTATAGTATTTGCAGCATACCACGCGTTCATTGGTGTTGAATACTGTTGCTTGAAGATTTACTCAGAGTATCTATAGCAACACCAACACATCCCTAGTCTGAGAGCTTCAAGAGCAGGTTCGCGGAGCTTAGGCAGCTGCATGACAGCCACCCTTTCCTTGACTTCCACCCTTCATATATAGTCCCTCCCAGGAGACATAATCCAGAACCGAAGGCTCCCAGTTCAAAGACCCCTAAACCCTAAACCCTAAACTGTAGTTGGAGAACTGCTTGAAGAGGCTTATAGGGGGGAGCCGGCAACTGAAGATTCGGATGCACGCAAACCCGGATGCTTCCAATATCCCATTTCGATGAGCGGCTGAGTCCCTGAGACCTTGCCCCAAACCTTCAAGCTTAGTTAATCTGCGAACCACAATAGCAAATTTTCAAAGGGCTTACAGGACAACTTAGTAATTCTTATAAGCCCTAAACCCTATGAACCGAGAGGATGTCACGTTTCAGAACTATCTTTTGGCATGTCCGGGCGCCTGACCCTCAACATGCGGGCTCAGGGATAAGAATGTGGGAGTTTCAGAAAATTAGGGTACCTTATTTTGGGGTCCTTATATAGGGATCCTATTAATTAGAGTACTATATTAGGGTCCCCTATTTTCGGAAACCCCCATGTAGATCTTGAGTAGGGTTTAGGGTTTAGGACTGTAGGGGGTTTGAGGATTCTTAGGGGTCGGCAGGTTGGGGTCCTTCCTAGTCTGAAATCAAGTTCTTGTTTCTACGATTTGTACTATACTCTTGCAGCCCAGAATGCTGACTGAGGACACTGAGAACCTCGATAATTAAATCGAAGTTACATGAGCAAGCCTGAATTCAAGATTGAAGGTCCAAAGCCCAAACCCCAAGGCCCAAAATCCTCGACTTCTGTAGACTATCCTCGAAAAAAAGCAGCACTCAAACTTTGAATGTGGCCTCCCAGCAGCACCCCTCTAAAGAGCTGATGCGGTTAGCGGCTAACAGCTACGACAGGCTAGATAGGAGGGTTGCCTTTGCAAACCTTGTGGCATTCATACTTCGTGCAACTGTAAGATGGGGTTCACTCCTGAGCGCAACACCTCATCGAAAGGTCTCCCAAAAAATCACAACTCGCCTGAGCCGTGCAGACCTATACCTTTTGGTCTCTTGAAGTCATGCCAACATCGACAAATCCTAGAATTCCTTCGACAAGTCTGCAAGACCTGAAAAAGCAGTCAATGCCTCAAGGAAGGATGGTCGTGAACCGGAAGTCAGGTCTCATGTCCTTGACCCCTACCCCGCTGAAATGCCTCATCACCCACCGAAGGTCCAACACTCCAACTACCTAATGACCCGAAGGTCAGAAGCCTCTCCAGAGACTTAAAGCACTCCAAGCACCCCAAAAGGCCCTTTGTAAGACTCCCTAACGCTACTGCGCAACCCCATGAGGCCCCTCCAAGCCCTAAGTCCTATGTAAACCCAAAACCCTAAAGCCCTAAAGTCCATTGTAACCTTGCAAAACCCCCACAAAGGCCTATAAAGGCAGAACCCCATGAAGCCCATGAAGGCTGCTAGACCTTCACAAAGCACTCGACCCTGCTAAGGGTCTCCTCTGGAGCTACAGTGAACATGGGTGGGTGGAAAGGGATCTAGGATCATGGCACACATCTTTGCTTAACCTGGTATGTAGGAACGGCAACGATGTTCCAACTTCAGACTCTGGGCTTAAACCTAAACCCCTAAACCCTACACCCTAAACCCCTAAACCCTAAACTCCTAAACCCCAACACCCTACACCCCAAAGCCCCTAAACCCCTAAACCCCTAAACCCTTTGTTTCGGCAAGCTGACACTCTGAGGCCTTGAAGATCCTCGAAGACATCGCGGCGCCTCCAATCGTTCCCCAGGCTGGTCCAAAGGCTTAGGCTCTAGGGGGTAGCAGCCCAAGTACCCTTTAATAGAGCCCTTATGGTCCTGAATAGTGGGTATGTAGGGTATAATGGAGGCTAGTTTGGGGGTGCAGGTAGGGGTAGCAATCTGGGGTTTAGGGTTGTTCAGGGTGTAAGTCTCAGGGTTTAAAAGTTTAGGGTTTGGCAGTGAGGGTTCAGGGCTAAGGGTTCAGGGTCAAAGTTTTCGGGTCTTGTAGCGTCTGTAGTGTGTCAGGGTTAGGGTTTGGTGGGCTTTAGAACTTAAGGGTTTTGTGCTTATGAGGGCGTATACGGCCTATTCTTTGGTATGCTTACCCCAATCATGCAGTTCGGTAAAGGCTCATCAGCCCCAGAAGCCATATCAGGGCCCAGAGGTCCCAGCAGAAAGCCGCAAAAAGCCTTACGAACTGCAGTACATGTGAAGTCGTAAAGGAACCCTTGGAACCAAGTCCTAAACCCTGAGCCCAAATCCTGTACCCTAAACACAAAAGACTCTCTAAAGACCTTATAAACTCTCTAAAGAGCCCATGTAGGGACCTGCAAAGGAAGCCTGTACGCTCTGCAAAGCCTTGCACTCTCAACCCTAAATCCCAAACCTTAAATCCTAAGCCCTAAACCACCCCCTTGTCTTCTTTCTCCAGGCGAGGGCTATCGAGCCCCAGGAGGTCCGGACGGTCCGCGACGCGACGAAGACGGCCCTGGCCCGGGTCCTAGTGTTCCGACTGCTTACTGCTAGTGCCCCAACAGCTCCAGGGCTTGAAACCGCAACTGCCTACAGCCCCAAGCCCCAAGCCCTTAAGCCCCTACACCCCAAACCTCACACCCCAGTCAAGCCCTAAACTCACTCAAAACTGGAACCCTGCCGACCAGGAGGCCATTCGGACACCCCACAGCGTGGAGAAGTCGACCGCAGGTGCCCTCCGACCCGTTTCAGACTGGCAGAGTCTTTGAGGTCAGGGTTAGGGTGAATTTCTGTTGATGGGTCCATTCCAGACGTTGCAGTGGTTGCCGTCGTCTCGACCCTCGTCGAGCGACCCTAGGAGTGTTTCTGGTTGCAGCAGCGGCAGCTGCATGGGGAGGAGGATGAGGAGAATCTGCCCCGCGCCTGTGGAGAGTAGGAGAGGCAGACTTGTAGGGGTATTGCAGAGGCCTGAAGAAGCCGTAACGAACTGCAGAAGCAAACTCTGTACTATGAAGTGCCCAGGTCCGGCAGGATCCTAGCACTTATTTCCACATGTAGATCCTCGGGGCTTCGTAGAACTGGGCGTGCGTGAGGTAGGTGTCCTTAGTTAATGATTGGTTGATTCGCACTGTGGCATCAACAACATCAGTCACTAGATTGGTAACAGTTGCAATCAGGATCTTATCATTATACTGGCCATAATCGCAATAAGGATCTTATCATTGTTGATAATAGTAACAATTGCAATAATAACGATGTTGTAGGAACCCCTAAACCCTAAACCCTAAACCCTGCATGTCTCTAATTCCTGGAACCTCGGGCTGGTTCGGCGAGCCTGAAACCTCACCGATATCCTCAAGGAAGGTGAGTTTAGGGTTTAGGGTTTGGGGCTCTGGGGTTCCACCGCACCATCGCTTCAGAAGTTGCCTTCGCATATAGTGGGAACATGCATTCAGGATGAATAGTGCTGGGATTCCCTCGACTCTACCTTAAGGGCATGAGGATCATGATGTTCCAACTTTCTGGTTTCTACTGTAATCTGGGCGCCTAAATAGTTAGCTGCTTGTATAGTACTAGTCCTTGGGGTTAATATAATAAGCCACATACTCTGACTCCAACTATAAAAATGCCCCGCCTACTTCGAGGACCTACTGCAGTAGCTAAAGTTCGAAGATCAAGCCTGAACCAGTACGAAGGGGACGCCTGCCCAACTGCTTCAGGCACGACAGGTCATAGGCAAACGAGTATCCCCAAACATGACAAGGATAGCATTTCCCTGTCGCATCAAAGCATCATGTGCTGCAAAACCTGATGCCGAACCCGTTTTGTTTATCTGTCTTGAGGGGTTTTCCAATCCACATTGCATATCCGTCCATCATAGAAGCAATACTTCGGTACTGTGAGAGTGAGAGTTGAGAGTTCTGAAATCACTGGTCTCGAACATGACTCAGTCTGCACAGCACATACCGTTGTTGGGATATTTCGATCACCCCAGGTGCGAAAGTTTTAGCCATAAGTATTTTCCGTGCCTCGCGAAGCACTGCAACACCCCTAAAGACCCGTATGAATTGTTCGGTGAACGTGGATATTTCCTGCACCAACAGCCCTAGAAACCCATCGTACCTTGTAGGAACGAAACTTAAAGTACCCTTATAGCAGCCGTGGCAAGCGAGGTGCTTCCCTGAAAGCGCGATGCCAGGCGGCTTTGCAAGAGGAGTTTGTGGACCCAGGTTTCCCTATAAGCCTTACCTTGCACCCTGACGGTGTATAGTTCAGTTAGACGGGTTTCTGTTACAGCTGCACGTGATTATTATCTACGAGAAGCTAGTCGATGTTCTCGACTTTAATTGTTCATATTCGATACAGCGATACGGCCGATACGGTTGATGATCTATAAATGCTTCATTACCGAGAAAAGGAATATACCACAATTGCCATAGTTTGGGGTCCCTCAGGAAATGCAGGATTTATGTCATCAACGGTACGCGCATTACCGGCTTTCCGGGCCCTCGCGAATAATTAGTATCCTACTGCCCAGGGTCTCTTGAGTGAGTGGCCGTCGAAGCCTAAAGCTCTGAACCCGAAAGCGTGGATGCCGGGGACAGGTTTGGTTCCTTATTTTGACCATAGTATAATGGGCCCCAAAAAACCCTATTCTAATTCTTAAGGCCCATAGATTATAGGCTTCAGGGTGCCGGGGGGATTCCAATCTACCCCCAACAAGGCCGGTCCCTCAAACCGAAAGTTCGTGGATCCTCTGAAACCCTACACTCCGAGCAAAGGAAGCCCCAAAGAAAGGAAACCGTGTAGAACCCTTGCAGAACCGTTGTAGGAACCCATAAACCCAAAGGGTCCTGGGTACTGTTATGGGGCATACTTCCCCAAATCATTATTTCAATTCCTAATATAGAAACCCCGCACTCTACTATATGGGTAGTTGTCAAAATTATGGTTACTTTTGGGGTACCCTAAATAATAGGTGCCGTATTATAGTAAGGACCCAAAAAGGGACCACAATTTTGACAACCACCCATATAGTATATAGGTACTTTGGACCCTTGAGGAAAGGAATCCCCAAACCCTAAGTCAAACTCCTGTGGATCGCTAAGCTGCGCTTCAGGGATTCGGCAACTACGAGCCTCCTCCAGAGGACGGAAAGTCAAAGTAGGGTTTAGGGTTTAGGGGTTTAGGGTTTAGGCTTCGGGTTTAGGGTTTGGGGGTTTAGAGGTTTAGGGTTTAGGGGTTTAGGGTATAGGCTTCCGGGTTTAGGGTTTGGGGGTTCAGGGTTTCGCGTTCAGGGTTTAGGATTCAAGGTTTAGCCTTTACTGTCGGGGGCCTGAGAGCTAGAAAGGCGTTCCTTTGGGGCGCAAGGGCTTCTTTCAAACGATGCTTCATCGTTTCAAAAAGTGGGCTGAATAAAGAGGCCTTGATGACGGGAATTGGATTTGCAGTATGCTGCAGTATGTTTCTGCAGGGTCGTTACGGGCATGCCATACGAATTATTCCGAAACTAGAGTTACTGGTAGGGCTGAAGGGCTTAAAATGTATGGTCGGTGAAGGTTTGTGTGTTGAGCGGTTTGGTTCTGTCTTAAGGTTGTTGGATTTTTGCGTTGCAGATTCGAACTATAGGTTTAGGGCATGTGCGTTTAAGACTTGTGGTTTGAGGCATTGGTTGAAAAGCTTATAACTTATGACGTAGAGTGTAGAGGCCTGAATAATTAGAATGAGGTTTCGGGGCCCATTATAAGCATAATACTAAGGACCCCCGAAAATCGTATTGGCAGTGGTTCAGGCACCTACATTATCCTGCTTCATGGCTTCAGGGTTTTTTGGCTTCGTGGTATTAGGCAGCCGAGCGTAGCGTTTTGAGAGTCCTGGGATCACTGGCTTGGGCTTTTGAGACCTAACCTCGACCCACCGTGAACCCACGATTCCATCAAAGATTGGATCACCAAGTTCAGCCTTTCGTTTGATCCGAAGTGGCTTTTCCTCAAGATTGGGGGTGTCCTTGTCGCTGTGGATAATACGTAGCGGCTCTTCATTTTTCTGAGACCCCGTGTTTCTCTCTACAGCGTGCTGGTTGCACTTGTTCTTGTCATTGTATCTTTGCACATGTATTCACACATAATGTCGTACGTTACATCTGTTTGTATGTACATATGTATACATGCATGTATGATCATGTATGCATGTGTAGTATGTATGTGCCCACATAGACTTGCACCTGGAATCGCTCTTGCAAGCACCGCCGCGTTTCGTGTTGAGTCCCCCTGATAAACCCCAATCACTGCCGTCGTCGAGGAAGAGCCTGCAAAGAAGAATAACATCGCTGGCCAGGTTGGTGGCCCGGCGCTGCTCGTAATTCTTAGGCCCTTCTTCCTAGATAAAGCATCCTGGAAGTCTCAATGAAAGCTTATGGGAACCGAACCCCCGAAGGACCCTGATCGACCTCCTTTTGGACTCCCATAGACTCCTCCTACACCGCTCAAGGCTATTACGCTCGGCTGGTCCATAGTTTCGGGCGTTTTTAGGGATTAAACCTCGATTGAGCCCAGAAGCCTGGAGTTCTTAAGTCTAAGCGGTGGCTTAGCATGCTGAAACCAGCCAAGAGCGGATGGAAGCAGCCGGCCCCCAATTGAAGAACACCACTGAATGCCGTTAGGTTTGCCCGCATGTTCAGTGGCTCACGTGCAGGCTGCAGAATTCGTCGCCGATTCCATTGGTGTCCTGGTGGCAGTGGCACGTTCTCCCTGTTTTCCCGGTCCACCCAGGGATGTTCCCCAACTAGACTTAGACCCCAAGAGGCTGTAATGGTGTTAAACTCCGCTACCCCTAAACCCTAAACCCTAAACCCTAAACCCTGAACCCTGAACCCTGAACCCTAAACCCTAAACCCTGAACCCTGAACCCTAAACCATCAGAAGACCTTGAAGCCCCAAGCTCTCACCCCGAGCAGCCTGACGCCCTCAAGCCTGAGCCACCAAATCCTTCGGGTTTAGGGTTTAGGGTTTAGGGCTTAGGGTTTATGGTCCGAAGATGAAAGAGAGGCTCTTTGGCAAAGACCAAAACACGCTGAGAACTGGGCAGACTGCCTTGCTCTCCAAGCCCTCTGCAGGATTCTCGAGGGTTTAGCGCTGCACGGCTTCAGGGCTTCACTTCCGGGTTTGCATATCTTGTACCCTGAAATCCCACGTCTTTAGGGCGGGGTCCTCTGACGGAGGAATGGGGGGCTGCGACTTCGCCGTACACCACTTCTATCCACCAAGCCGCACACCGTAAACCTACACGCAAATCCTTAAGCCTAACCATCCAAACCACAACTTCGTAACCTGAACCACAAGGTCTAAACACAGACTTGGTTTACGTATCTCATCAACAACAGCCACAGACGTGATTGCGCACCCCCTACTCCTCCCGCCACCCCGCCCCCGCCCGTGCTGCCGCCAGCGGCCCCCCTGGTAAAGGCGACCTAAACCCTAAACCCTAAACCCTGGCCCCCCCGGTAAAGGCGACATAAACCCTAAACCCTAAACCCCTAAACCCTAAACCCCCCCGGTAAAGGCGACATGGTCGACGATTTCAAAGAGAAGGGTGCCGTTGGGGCTCTCAAGGTCTGCGCCGTTTCAGGGCTATGGGTCCGAGGGTCTTTCGGGCCTTCTCGGGCTTTTATGGGGAGTTTTATGGAGACTTGCGGATGATAGGGTCTCAGGGCTTTCAAGTTTAGGGCTTTT